GAGCCAGGCACCCGGAGCAGCCGCCCCCTCCCCCGCCAGGACCACTGGAAGCCCCTTCTCTCTCATCCTCTCGGGGCGGGGCGCGGAGAGTTGAGCTGCCCCAGGCGGGCGGGGCGGAGCCCGGAGCTCACCGAGTGCAGCAGAGCGAACCTCACCTCCCTTCTAGGGTTCAAGGTGTGTGTGTGTGTGTGCGCTTTTTCTAACGCAACCCCGACTTCTGCCGACTTAACCTTGAGGGGAAAGGGAATGGGAAGTAAGAGCTCCGCATCCCACCAGTTTATTTTGATTTTCTAATTCTGCCCTTCATTCTTTCCCTCCCTTCATCCTACCCCTGCGGCAGGGTAAGGAGATTCAGGACTCATCTCTTTTTACTGATGTGTCGATGTCTGTCGCGTAGTAAAATAACAGAGAAAAAAAGAGGAGCCTTTTTTATATGGCATCTGATGCAGTGAACCGCAAAAAAAAGAAAGAGAAAAAGCTAGGAGTGTGTTTTTGGAACTGTACTGCATCCTTATCCATTAAAAGCTGTCTTCACCATTTTCCTGCTTGGGACTACCTTAATCAGCAAAAACTATCTGAAAAGGAAGAAGGTGCCTAGTGGAAAGCGGGAGAGCCCCCGTCAAATGGTGGTCAAAGGAAATCCGGATAGTTGTTAGTGATTGATTAACTCTGCCAAAGTCTCTTCCCGAGTACATTTTCACCGGCTTTGTGTAGTACTAAACCCTGTTGGAGAATCCTAGCTAGAGGGAGCAAACTTACCTTGCGGTACTGAAACTTGTCTTAGATCTGTTTCTCCACGGGTCTGTTTCTTATATCCATAAGTTCTCAGAGAATATGTTTTGGCTGTCAAAAAACAAAGTCAAACTTTAAAAAATATCCAGATGAATTTTAATTCGTTTATTTTTTAAAGCCCCTTCCTCCCAACTTTATGAATTTTAATGACTGTAGCATTACAATTGAAATTATATTTTTTCTCTTTTGAGTTTTTTTGCTTCTACAACTTATGGATCCCTTCTTTCTGAAGGATGCAGTGCTCAGCCTCAGCCAAAATCAGGAACCCTTTATAGGTTTTTAATTGAGAGGAAAGGTATCAGTTGATGATAGAAAACCTCAAATTTATGATAGAAACAAAGGGTGTGTGAATTTGTGTGTCATCTGCATGTCTGTTGAGTGGCAATTTTATGGTAAACTTGTTTTAACTGGGCATTTTCACTAAAGGTGTTTGGACCAGATTTATGTTAATGTTGATTAGCTAGAATATCTGAAGGGATAGATAATCAATCTTTTGTCAGCACTTTGATAAAAAAAAATTTTTTTGAAGATCAAATTGCCTTTATTAAGCAATTCATGAATTGGGCAGCATCCCATTTAGCAACTAGAAGGACATTCCTGGGTAAATATTAATTGAAGTGATTGAGAGTTCATTCTTGAAATCTAGGTTTAGTTTTCAGAGACTGTTCTAACTGGAGTTTAGTGTTGACAGAATTGATATGCTGCAGCTATTTTACAGTTTTAGCTGGATTAATGTTTTCTCTTAGCATGGATTTATTGGATCTCTAATCAATAAGGAGCAGTTTAGAAAGCAAGTATTATAAAGAATAGGGATGATGAGATAGGAAACCCACCTCAGTTGTGAAAACTTATTAGGGATCAGAAAACTTACACTTTAAAAAAATTCTCAAGTAGACTTAGTATAGAATTGTGCAAAAAAAAAAAAAAGAGTCACAGTAAATCTTTGTTGGATTTGGGGTTTTTAGTTTATTACTAATTTATCCCTTCAAACTCCATGAATAATATTTAAATTGAAAGGCAAAGAGGATTCCTTACCTAATGTTACTGAGAATGAACCCTTAAAAATCACTGATTGAATCTTTGACAGCTAGCCTGGTACAAAATAAAATGCAATTTGGCTAAGCTATAGCAAGCTGAGGAAGTGACAAAAACCACTTGGTGGCCATATTAAAGCATATACCACCAGTTCATTTTGCTTCTACCAGAAAACAGGTTGCCATCCTATTTGATAGCTATCCTAGGTGTTTTTTTCTTTGTCTATCCATAGGTGAGCAGTTAATACAGTTTTATGATGTTATAATGCACTTAGCTCACTTCATTTTTTTAAAAAAATGTATTGATTTGAGAGACAGAAAGTGAGAGAGAAAGAGACAGACAGACACATGGATTTGTTGTTCCACTTATTTATGCATTCATTGGTTGATTCTTGTATGTGCCCTGACCAGGGATCAAACCCATAACCTTGATGTATCTGGATGACATATAACCAACTGGATGAACTACCTGACCAGGGCTACTCACCTACTTTTTAAATATTTGTTTTCTTGGCTAATTTTTGTAATCAGTATTTTGCATGGTGCAGTGATTTCCCCAAAGAATTTTTCCCAGGAGACAAAAGGCTATGTATAGAGCTAATAGGTGTATCTGCACTGATCTTCAAATATCACTTAAGGGAGATGGAAATCCGCAGATTTGGTCCTCTGCAAGGAGACACATGAAGCTGTGACTTCTCGTATCTCTTAAGTTGAAGGGACCTGCTGCTGCTGAGGGTAAAGTAGCTGCTTTAATTTTCTTTAGTATGTTTTTATCCATTCTGCTTATTTTTGTGAGTTACAGCTTAGAATGTGTTAAGAAAAGGGGTCCTATGTTTTCTCTAAAGGGAGATTCAACTCAGTCCCCCATTCACATCCAACGTATAAAATGATCCCCTTAGAAGGTGAAGGAAAGATTGGGCCCTTGGCGTTGTTTGATTCTTATAATAATTAGTTTGAGTGTTACCAGATTTGGAATTAGGTAAAGCTTGTTCAAGGTGAGAAAATATTAGAGGCGAAAAGACCTGGGAATGCTGCTATATAAGAGACTTATTTAGAGACAATGAATGTATTCATGTGGAGGTAGTTTGTAGCTGTTCAGCTTTGTCAGGTGTCTGAGAATATTTTGTGTGTGTTTAAACACAACCCCCTCTCCCAGGAGTTGATTCTTGGCAGCTGAGTCTTATGAGGAAGTTGTTTGCTGAGTCTAAATCCAGAGGGTAGAGGACTTGGCAGAGTCTGTTATCTGTTTATGACCCAGATAAGCATTTGGAATTGGTTGCTGGTGAATTACTGAACTCTTCCTAATGAATGGTTGCTAGGCAAAGTGCATCTCAGTCAGTTTAATCCTCAATAGTTTACAGGTCTGCTCTTGTTGAGGGCCAGGACGGTCTTTCTAATGATATTGCCCTTTAAGAATCCTTTTGGATCTGCATATACTAGTATGTTGCTCGGTGGCTTAAAAAATAAAAGGACTGGAACAATTTAGGGAGGTCACTTCATTCATTTACTTACCTTTTGATAATCTGGATCAGCATTGTCATTAACCTCTCTCCTGGATCAAGTGGTAGTGCATGGGGGTTTGCTCTCCAATATTAAGATTCCACTGTGTTTGATTATCTTCTGTTTTGTAACTAGTAAGGCAATGAACTAACACATTCATTGTTAGTTGGAAACAGGCCAGTGATAACACTGCCCTTGGGCCTAGATGGATGGAAAAATAGGACACAGTAAACAATTGAGGGCATAAATAATGAATCTTCCAACTGAGCCCTGGGAGAATGAAGGAGATTATCCTTAGAGCTGTTCAATCTGGCAGTGAAAAGGAAAGAGTCCACTGAATTAATTACCCTGTGTTTGATACTGCACTTATTATGGGATTGTAAGAGCCATTCAAAACACAGTTGCTTTTTAAATATAAACTTTGAACCCATCTTTTTGTTCATTTTGATTTTTAAAACCAAACACACAAGTTAAATTGTTCATTTATTTTTAGAATCCAGGCCTTTGCTCTCTCCCCCAAATTTGTTCTATATGTTAGCATTCTAACAAATACTGGTCAGTCCTTATATTTGGCCGGATCTTAGAATTTTGATTAGAGATTTCATTGTCTGTAAATATAAAGGGTAATAGAAGAAAAAAGAGAAAGTCTGAGGTGGTTTAAAGGAATTCTTTGGTACCTTGAGTACATTGTATACTTTTAAATTAAATGTGGGGCTAAAGAGTATAATTACATAACAATTCACAAAAGGTTAAGGTTAAGACAAGAGTTTCCTCAGCCCAAGAATCATTTTCAGTGTTAATATAAGTATTTTTACTTTCGGGTTTATTTTTATTCAGTGAATTTAATAAGCAGTCTCTTGTGGTCTCACCTTTTCACTAAGGTAGGGAAAACTAATGCCCTGAGAATGTCTAAATAATAATGATTTGGTAGTAAAGCCACTGCCAGAGCCAAAGTCTCTGAATTCTTCTCTTTTCTAAATTTCTAATGTATTTAGTTTTCTTCTCCAAGAACTCCTTTTAGGATTCCTATTTGAAACTAGTGTCCCGGTGTACGGATTCGTGCACATTGAAAGGAAATTAAGCCCTGACCGGTTTGGCTCAGTGGATAGAGCGTCAGCCTGCGGACTCAAGGGTCCCAGATACGATTCTGGTCAAGGGCATGTACCTTGGTTGTGGGCACATACCCAGTAGGGAGTGTGCAAGAGGCAGCTGATCGATGTTTCTCGCTCATCGATGTTTCTAACTCTCTATCCCTCTCCCTTTCTCTCTGTAAAAAATCAATAAAACATTTTTTAAAAAAGGAAATTAATTAGAAGAAATATTTTTTATTTTATTTATTTATTTATTGAATATATTGGGGTGACATTGTTTAGAAATTATATAGTTTTCAGGTATACAATTCTATAATATATCATCTGTATATTGTTTTAAGTGTATCTTTTATAAACCCTATAAATATTTTTTCCCTCAAGTTTTTTTTTTAATTAAATCTTTATTGTTCAGATTATTACAGTTGTTCCTCTTTTTCCCCCCATAGCTCCCCTCCACCCGGTTCCCACCCCACCCTCTGCCC